TCTCTTTGAACTCAGTCAACTTTTGTCACATACACCCACAGTATTCTCTTTATATTTATTAAAAAATGTGATCAAAACCTGTAGCAGACAAGAAATGTTGTTCTTTTTGCCCAAAACTAACAAAAAGATTAGAAAAATATGTTAAATGCTGTTCAGAATTATTAAATTCATTATTGTTTCACTTTCCATAATTTATGTTATATTTCGTTATGTTATATTTAACGTTATATTTCAGCTCTTACCAGTGTTTGCTTGATGATCCTTTCCGTACACAATGGCCAGCATTAGAAGAAGAGCTTGGGATTGGGTACTCAATGGATGACCAGTGTGAATACGATTTTGGTCAAGGACATAAAAGATGCACAGCAGTAAGTATATAACTATCGACCAAGTATAACTAGCGCCCTCAATGTCTAAACATATCACACTTTTGTTTTACCTGCTTTGCCTTTCACTCATTTTTAAAGGCCATTGTAAACCATTTTTTGTTTGCTTTTATGTCACTGCATAGCCCAAAATTGGATGTACAAGTATGTGACTATTATTAATAACAATTTTTATATTATAGCAGAGATTTTATGCCACAATTATAATAACTTCAGATGTAAGTCTTAGGATTATCTGACTGGGTTGTCTGACTATGGCACGGAAAGTTGATAATTTATAATTGCTTATAGCTAGCTTTCTGGACGAATTGATAATTAAACTGAAAATTAAATATATTTTATTTTTTCAAATCAGTTTCAAGGAATGGATCTGTGTATGCAACTATGGTGCAGCCATCCAGACAATCCATTCTTCTGTAAAACCAAGAAAGGACCGCCGTTAGACGGAACTAGTTGTGGACCAGGAAAAGTAAGACATGCATATTTACTCTTAGTATCAGTAATCTCTGTATGTCACTTCAAAGGAAGTGCACCAGTAGTTTCCAATCATCTCCACCTGCAGATAGGTCTACAGCATTTCAATCATTTCATAAGACATTCATTATGATTCAGTCCTCTCAAAATTTACTCATATTTTATTATATTTTATTATAATACAATGTAGCATACATTTGTTAGTAATTTCCTTACTAAATGATTTTTTGTGACAGCATTATAAACTACTTTATTGTATGTTTTCATTGACTAATTGAATACTTTGTTTGGTGTTGAGCCAATCACTGAGAAAGTGAAGTACAGTGACTGACCAGTTGACCATTACAATGTATTTGGGTTAGAAGATGTTGGACCAATCGCTGGGAGTAAAGTACAGTGACTGACCAGTTGACCATCACAATAAAGGTTGAATTAGAAAATTTTGGGTCAATCGCTGAGAGTAAATTAAAATGACTGACCAGTTGACCATCACAATAAAGGGTTGGGTTAGAAGATGTTGGGCCAATCGCTGGGAGTAAAGTACAGTGACTGACCAGTTGACCATCACAATAAATGGTTGGGTTAGAAAATTTTGGGTGAATCGCTGAGAGTAAATTACAGTGACTGACCAGTTGACCATCACAATAAAGGGTTGGGTTAGAAGATGTTGGGCCAATCACTGAGAGTAAAGCACAGTGACTGATCAGTTGAATTTTATTACAGTGGTGTCATACAGGTTCATGTGTGGAATCTAGAGTTCAAATTACCCATGGTTCTTGGAGTAACTGGAATGAATTCTCAGAATGTTCAAGATCATGTGGCATTGGAGCCCAGATGAGAACGAGGGAGTGCAACAATCCCAAGTAGGTGGCAGTTTACCATGGTGATGATGTTGTAATAATAACAATAATATCTTGTACATTTATATTAAATTAAAATATGTGCCTATGTAATGTTTACTATGTGTGTTATTGTGAAGTTTACAATGAGTCAGCTGATACAGTCCTCTCCTCTCTTTTTGTAAAATATGTGCATATGTAATGTTTACTATGAGTGTTATTGTGAAGTTTACAATAAGTCAGCTGATACAGTCCTCTTCTCTCTTTTTGTAAAATATGTGCATATGTAATGTTTACTATATGTGTTATTGTGAAGTTTACAATGAGTCAGCTGATACAGTCCTCTCCTCTCTTTTTGTAAAATATGTGCATATGTAATGTTTACTATGTGTGTTATTGTGAAGTTTACAATGAGTCAGCTGATACAGTCCTCTCCTCTCTTTTTGTAAAATATGTGCATATGTAATGTTTACTATGTGTGTTATTGTGAAGTTTACAATGAGTCAGCTGATACAGTCCTCTCCTCTCTTTTTGTAAAATATGTGCATATGTAATGTTTACTATGTGTGTTATTGTGAAGTTTACAATGAGTCAGCTGATACAGTCCTCTCCTCTCTTTTTGTAAAATATGTGCATATGTAATGTTTACTATGTGTGTTATTGTGAAGTTTACAATGAGTCAGCTGATACAGTCCTCCCCTCTCTTTTTGTAAAATATTGATAAACATATCTTGAAAGATCAATTGTATTTTGTTGTCTTTTTGCAGAATGAATATTAATTTTTCTTCATCTGTTTTGTAGTTTTGAGAAATTTTAACTTGTTTATTAAGATGTTTCTTTTGTGTTTGTGAAGACTGCATTTAAGTAAAAACATTGTATCATATGTGTTGACTATTACTAGTAGAACTTTGGGTAGATTTTGACAACATTCTGCAAAGACAAAATTGTTAAAAAACAAATTCTAAAGAAAAAAACCTTCATTTAAATACAAATCACATCCACTTCATAGAGAACAAACAAAATTATAGCAAAATCTTGAATACAATCTAGTTCAAAACTAAGTAAAGGAAAGGCCATGAGTTTTCTATGAGTTGGTAGGCCATGAGTTTTCTATGGGTTGGTAGGCCATTATTTTTCTATGAGTTGGTAGGCCATGAGTTTTCTATGAGTTGGTAGGCCATTATTTTTCTATGAGTTGATAGGCCATTATTTTTCTATGAGTTGGTAGACCATAAGTTCTTTATTGGTAGGCCACGAGTTCTCTATGAGTTGGTAGGCCATTATTGTTCTATGAGTTGGTAGGCCATTATTTTTTTATGAGTTGGTAGACAATGAGTTTTCTATTGGTAGGCCATGAGTTTTCTATGGGTTGGTAGGCCATGAGTTTTCCATGAGTTGGTAGGCCATTATTTTTCTATGAGTTGGTAGGCCATGAGTTTTCTATGAGTTGGTAGGCCATGAGTTTTCTATGGGTTGGTAGGCCATGGGTTCTCTATCGGTTGGCCATGAGTTTTCTATGAGTTGGTAGGCCACGAGTTTTCTATGAGTTGGTAGGCCAATATTTTTCTATGAGTTGGTAGGCCATGATTTTCTATGAGTTGGTAGGCCATGAGTTTTCTATGAGTTGGTAGGCCATGAGTTTTCTATGAGTTGGTAGGCAATGAGTTTTCTATTGGTAGGCCATGAGTTTTCTATGAGTTGGTAGGCCATGAGTTTTCTATGGGTTGGTAGGCCATTATTTTTCTATGAGTTGGTAGGCCATGAGTTTTCTATGAGTTGGTAGGCCATGAGTTTTCTATGAGTTGGTAGGCCATGAGTT